AACTTAAAATAGAAAGGTTTATGGGAAAGAACTAGAAAGCCTTGATACCTAAAGAGCTCAAAATGCTCTCTTTTCTGTTGACTTTGTTTTTACAGCAAGCATTTGGATCATATAGAACAGGTGTCTACCGTCTGCAGCCCAACTCTGGCAAGCTTTCTGTTTACGTAAATCAAGTTTTATTGGAACACATTCTTTTACGAAGTGTCTCTGGCTACTTTCACAGTGTGACGGCAGAGTGAATAGATTCAAAAGAGTTCTATGGCCCACAAGGACTAAAAGATTTACTATCTGGCCCTTACAGAAAAAGAGTTTGCCTTTGTCAATCTTAGTGTAGACTAAAGAATGGAGATAGATATATGGGGTATTTTAACTTCATTACAATAATCCCTAAAGTTTTGTCACAGATTATCTGGGCCTTAAAGACAGATCCAAGAGAAAACAACAATCAAGAGATTGGCAAACAAGTATGTGATTATTTATTAAAAATTGTTACATTTAGAGCAATAAGACTATAAGTTAATAAAAGCATTTTCTGTCACCTTACTGTTGTTCTGCCCCATAAAGAAAAATACAATGCTGGAGTCAGTCAGTATACTTTAGGTTGTACATGATAGAAGAGACCCTCAGACTTAAGAAAAAAAAAGGGAAGGCAGATTTATTGGCAAATAAAATCAAAGGAAATCTCAACCGGGGAATTTGAACATCATTCTTTTTCTTTATGATTCTGTCTCTATCTCCCTCCCTTTCCCACATATTCCCCCTCCCCCTAGGTCCTGATCCTGTCCCTTTTTCTGTGTCAGTTTTATTCTTTCCTGCTGCAACTGGTTTTTCTCCATGTCATGAAGAGTATGACTCCTGGGAGCTCCAAATGTATATTTCCTGCCATCATCAGAGCAGCCAGAGAGCATTTCTCTTATCCATTCTCAGTATAGAAATTTCAGAAGATGGAGTACAATAACTGGTTAGGGGTCTACCCCTGTGGTTGAAGGGTTAGGTCTTTCTACACACGAAGAGGAAAAGAGGAAATGGTGTGCAGACCAAAAGACAACCAGTGGATGAACACATGGCCTACCTGACCCTCCCACAGCCCAACTGGCCCTCCCACAGCAGTCACAAGACCCAAGGAAATTCATAGAGGATATTACATGTATTTGTCTTAGGCAGGCCTCTTGTAAATAATAATTGATTATCTAATATATTCTGATTTGAAAACCTCTCTAGATTTCACAGTTCCCTTCACCTGTTTCTCAAGAACTTCATTATTCCTCAGGCTACCGTTAATGTTTCAAAGAACAGACATACAATGCTATCTTCCTTTGATCATATCTTTCTCAGGTCAAATAATTCCAATTTCTTGGTTCCCCCTCAAAACCCGGTGGATGAGAGATTTCATTTTTTTTTAACTTCCATTAGATTTGTTTTTGCAAAATTTAAAACACACCTTCTTAATATATGAAACTCAGAATGTGACACTGGAGAACGATCCACACAAGCCTGGGCATATTGGGAATTAACATCACAACCAGATTCGCCTGGGAAGAAATCCTAGCTCTGTCACTTAATCACCACACGGTATTAAAATAATCAATATTCTCATTTTATAGATGAGAACTCCAAGATATTCATTCGGTAAATATTTATGGAAGGTATCCGTGTTTGGGATGCAACGATAAGAGAAATAAGATCTCCACCTTCATAGAACGTATATGTCAATGAGAGCATAGACAAGTTTATTGTTGTTTCTATGCACTGTGGTAAGCACCATGAAAAGGAAATATGGCTACTCTAGGTGGACATAGAAAAGGTGTGCAAACTAGGCCGGGGCTGTTGGTGGGGAGGGGAGTGGTAGACCCTTCCCAGAGGAAGTGGTATCTAAGGTGAGAACTAGAGCCATGAGCAAGGCAAAGGAGAAAAGAATGAGTAGGGATTGAAGAGTATTTCTAGAGCGAATAGGTAGCAAATTTACCATGATACAAGAGAACATGATGATTTAAAGGAACTGAATGCTACTCAAGTATTAGTCAGAAATCTTCACGTAGCAAGTGACAGAAATCCATCTCCAACTAGCTCAAATGAAAAAGTAGAATACATTGGCTCATTAATCAACCCACAGGTGGACTTGGCTGGCATCAGGGATGGCAAGATACAGGGACTGAAAAAAATGCATCTCTGCCTCTGCCTTTTGCTTGTCTTTGTGGGTTGGGTTGTCTGTTCTCTACTTCTATAGACTATTTTCTCCACGCAACTGAGAAAATAGACACCAGATGTCCTGAATTTACAGCACAGTAGCTTTGCCATTGGAGAGGAAAGAGAGTTATTTTCTATTGCTCCAGCCTGCAGAAGTACCAATTAATTGTGCAGGGTCTAAGATTTCACCCACCTTCAAAGCTAACAAGTTAGCCTGCCCCAGTTTCATGGATGGTGAAGACTCTTGACTGCTGGCTCAGAGGCAAATTTTTCTCATGGCATAGCAGGCAATGAGAGCTTCGTGTTCACATCAGTTCCTCCTTGGTCCCCAGATGTCCTGGGGACCAATGTGGAACATCCCTAGGTGGATATTGCACACACAGTTGGCTTGTATCATGAATAAGAATCCCTGATCTTAGGAAACTCTCAATCTTATAAAGGGATTGCTAGCAAACCTGCCCCAACTTTGCCCCATGGGGAGACATTATCTTCATTATCCTAATCAGGGGACAAATATACCCTCTGACCCTGAGGGAGATGCTAGCTTTAGCTTCTGGCAGTTTGCCAGGCAAGTTGAAAAGGTAGTCCGGGAGAAAAGTTGTCACAAGATATGTAGAAACACCATGTAGAATTGCCCTCTAACAAAAAAATCCCACGGAATAAATCAGATTGGTGTGTCTTGAGCCATGTGTCCATCTTGAATCAAGCACTTTGTCCAAGGACATGGAGAAATATTATTGGCTCTGCTCAAGTCAACTTCCCATACAAGGAAAGGGGTCAAGGTTGGTAACTAAGGCATTAGGAAAGAAATGGGCTTGAAGATAAATCACCTTCATTATGATTCAGTTTAGAGTATAAATTATAAGGGTAAAGAGGTAAGATGGGGCCAGATCACGAAGAATTATGTAGGTCATTTTAATATGTTTGGAATTTGTCCTATGTACAATAGCAATTGTATTAAATCATTTTACAATGGGGTAGGGTTGGCATTGTCTTTAGAAAGATCACATTGGCAAAGATTGTAGGGAGAGGAGCCAGTAATGAGAAGTTAGGGGACGGTTACATTGATCCAGGTAAAAGATAATGGGCCTGAACCAGGATAGTGGGATGGAGAGAAATGGGTTAATTTAAAGATATTTTAGTAGCATCCTATAGGGAAAGCAGACAGAATCAAAGACAAACTTAGTTTTAGTCTTGCTTTTGTGAACTTAGTGAATTGAGCTATAGAACCTAGAAAGAGAGGTAGGTTTTAGGTAGGAAAGAAGGTAAATTCAGCTTTGAAAATTATAAATTTGAGATAGGGCAGGTCATAGAAAGCTAGGCTGAGGAGATGGATTAGGAGACGTGTGTCTAAAACATGGGTGGGAAGAGGTCTAAACAGAGAGAACACCTCTAGGAGAAAAGCTGAGGAACACAGATATTTAAAGGGCAGGCATAAGAAAACCTGCAAAAAGGATTGAGAAAGAGCAGCCAGAATGTTAAGAAAACTAGGAACAGAGTACAATGGAAGCCAAAAGATGATTCAAGAATAGAAATTGACCTCATTTTTAAAAAAGTCGTGCAACATGCCATAGTATGGATATACAATGTAATAAGAGAACTGAAAGCAAAACAAAGAACTCAAAGCAGTTTTTAAACAATGTCAAATGCTTTAGAACAAGCTTCTTGAGTTGAGGATGGGGGAGATTCCATCAACCTTAAAGGGGCACTATGGGAATAAAGTGGGTCGTATTAACAATGAAGGTATTCAAGAAATGTATTTTCCTTTAACAAGTGAGTCAGTACGACTTACACCTGGCTCAGATTATACTCTTACTCCTAGATCTTTTTCACACACTCTTACTAATGTCCAGTCATTATGTTTGTACTAATTAATGTAGTTTCTTTTGTAGCTATAAAAGAACCTGCGAAGAACCTACAAAAGAACACTGTCCCTTAATAAATGTGCCCTTTTTTTCCCTTTTTCATTATGTCACTGGTACCAAATCCTTTGACCTATTGGCTGCACCAGAAGTCTCAGATTAACTGGCAAGATAAATACAAGTGACATTTTATTTCTGCTCATCTCATTAATGTAGATCAGCTCTGGATGATTAGTTCTCCTCTAAACATGAGCTAAAATGGCTCTATTATTTGGTGCCATACATAGTATGGTTTGTGATTATTGCTTTCCTAGAGGAGGTTTAATAGGGATTTGTTTGTTTATTTTGTGTGCACACGTGACACTCTTGCATTTCTGTCATTTCTGTACCTATTTCTCTTTTCTTCCCCCCAGAACAAGCTCAAATAAAATTTCTTAGCTCTTTCTTTAGGACAGGGGGAAAATATCACATACCAATCCATGTAGAGAAAGAGATGAGAAAAATAAGAACAGGTTCAGAGGGCATTTTATAATTCATTAATATGTATTAGTAACTTAATTTTTTCTTCCTTTCATGAGAAAGAACTAAAAAAATGTTATAAAATCAGAAGCTATTAAGAAATCACATACTTTAAAAGGTTTACCAATTGCTTTTTATAGCTTTATTAACTATTACCAAGTTTCAAATAATTAAATACTGCAACTGGGACATTAAAAATACAAACTAATTTACCAAAATAATTGTATTCTGAGTATTATGTACAATATTATACATTTTACATTACATAAAGGGTTTTTACACATCAAGGGAAGATTTATGATTACTGAAAAATCTAAAATACATTTAAACACAACATTCCTATGCATACATACACATTCACTCAACTGGGACAATAAAAACCATTACATGAGTGCGGTTATTAAAAAATAAAATTACATTCATACAATGGTAGAAATTAAAATGTGTTTTTATTAATTTGAGAGTATTATTAAAAAACCACACACATGAATTATATAACCTAATTCTAAATATTTAAAAAAATCTTTATGCTTGAGACGGAAATATGTTTCTATCCCCCAAGGGGAATTTTTTATTTTTAACTTTAAGAGATTTTTACAATCCATAATCATTAAAAAGCCTAGATGTGGGCATAATAGAGACCCGATCCCAGCAAACAGAAAAGTCATGAGGGTCTATAATACCACCATGTGTATTTCACCGTATAACTTTTGAAAAATAATCCTATTTAATTGTACAATTTGGTATGCCTTCATATTCACACTTGACATCAAAGTGATTATAATATTGAGGCACAGAGCCTACAGGGCAAATATATATATATTACTGTAGGGACCTAGATACTGAAACAAGGATATCACTAGGTGACTTCAGAAAAAAAAAAAAAATAGAATGGATGCTCACTTAGAAACCGCCACCCATATACACTAAATTAGTTGTTAAATACAGTGTCAGTCCTTCAGAAAGGTTAATACACTGATGTGTCATACCTTGTTTGAATACTGAAATATCTAAGTCCAGAATTCCATCACATGAATTTTAGTACTTCTCACTTCTAAATTTAATTCCTTTGAAGAATAGCTGTAACTTTAAGTAAAACCAAACATTTTTCTGACTGATCTGAAAAGTCTGAAAAACCGTCTTGATAAAAAATGGCTTTCCAAATATATGGCACTCTGTACACAGATCTTATTCCAGCGATACACGGACCGGTTAAAATTCTATCAGAATTATACATAAGGACCCCGAAAAGGCAGCAAATTAGTAAACTGGCCATTCTCCTTAAAGTGTGCACAGAATTTCTGCAGTATTCCTTATTTTGAAATCCTGTCTTTTATCAAAGGCTAATAGCAGAACACCTGGAAACTAGAAGATAGAAAAGTAACAAGTTGAAATATGTACAAAATCGATGTCGTTTCCAACATCACATCATCTATGAAAAATAACATTCAGGGCCTAAGTTTGCTTTATTGTTTTTCTTCTTGTTCATGTCTAGCTTGAATATAAAAGAAGCTCTAACCTAGGTTACCAAAATATATTCTTATAAACGTATGAGCATTTCTAATACAAAAGGTTTAAAAAAGCCTAAATTCTTCATTTCTTGTAATTAAATATGCTGAAGTTCAGTAGGCAGGTTTATTTTTGAGCAGCTTGAAAGGAGTCCGTAGGCTGAGCTGTCTGTGAAACTGGGCGCAGCTACATTTCAGCCCTTCGCTGCGATTTCTCAGCGACAGCCGCCCCGTCGTCTTCCTCCTCCTCCTCCTCCTCATAGTGTTCCTCTCGGCCTTTAGGGGGGGTGTCATCCCGAACTTCTTGCTCTTCTCCCTCATTGTTTTTCTCATCAGCCTGAAAGTTCAAAGAAAAAAAGAAAAAAACAACTGAGAGATAAGGCAGAGAGTTAGTGAGCTAAATACAATAATTCCCCCTGAAAAGAAAAGGTACAAAGTTACTCATTTTTTGAGAAAGGACAACAAGAGAAGAAAAATGTTCCAATAGGCAAGGGTATTACAGTCTTTCCTAATTGTCATCTTGTTACAAACTTTCTAAGTCTGGATTGGCCTGTTAAACTATGTACCCATGGTATCCACCCAACTGTACATACATATCTTCTACACACACACACACACACGTGTTACGCCCACACACATGCGCACATGATGCACACCACACAATATACATCCTCCACATACATTTTCATCATAGGTCTCTTCAGCGTTATGCTCCAATTCCCTTTTCTTCTCGTCAGTCAAATCTTCCTGAACCTAAAACAAACCAGAGACACTAAATGACACTTTTATCATTTAAACACTTGGAACAACATATTCTGATTTCTAAAGAGTTCACTCAAAATAGCAGAAACAAAACTAAAGCAAAAATAAATTTGAAAAAAAAAAGTCAAGCTTTGACTTGTCTAGTAGCCATGAAGAAATGTATAATAGACCTACTATTAAAAAAAAATCTTATTCAACTGTCTTCAATACCTAGATGCATACCTGACACATTGCAACTGCTTAATAAATATTGTTGAAAGAATGAATAAATGAATCAATGCAAAAAAATAACTGCTCTGTAAAGGCTCAGAAAAGAAACCCCATGACCTATATATAAGGTAGGAAAAAACAAAGAAAAAGTGTGTGTATATATGTATTCCAATAATTAAAAATAAACTTTTCTGGCTAAAATATCCAGAACATAGAACACACTCATTTCAATTTCTTCAGGAAATAGTTACTAAACTGCCTCAAATCCCTTAATCTCTTCAGTGTCCTAATAGGACATTTCTGTTTTAAATAGTTTTCTTTTGTGTACACTATTATTATGTGTCATTGATCCCAATTATTTTTTTTCCAAATGCCAATCAAAGAAAGCATCCATTTTGCTCAATAATCTCTATTTAATGATCACATTCCACAAAACATGGGGTTAAGTATTTTCTAACTTAACTATTTTGAAAGACCTTTGTACGCCAAAAGTTTTAAGTCATTTGAATACATTTCAAAAGAAATTGCTGACCATCAATTAAGCATAATGTACTGTTCTGGTACCAAAAGAAAACCTGATCTCTCCTAGGACAGTGGTGTAGAGTAAGTTTTCTTGAATAACGCACAAAATTCCTTTTTTTTTTTTTTTTGGTGTGTGTGTGAGGAGTGTTAAAAATCCCAGAAATGGGCAAGGGAAGAAAAGTGTGCAGGCGTTCTAACTAAGAAGCAACAAATTAAGGGCTGCCTCAAGGTGTCCAGCTCGAGTGCAACAGGAATGAACAACCTACCAGACGTATTGGAGTGAACCTGGCCTGATAGGAGCCTATAAAGATGACCCTTCAAAGATGCCCTAGACAGAGACCATCCTTCATGAACTTCTCTAACCAGCCCAATGCCAGCTGGACTCACACCCCCTAAAAACACTGGTACACAATAAATTCATTCTGGAGAAAGAGGCATAAGGCATCTTTTGTATTCACATTTTGTCCTGCTCAGGTAAGCTGAAGAGAAAACACACGTGTCGCTCCGGCAGGCAGGCTCCATCTATGGTCTGGGACAGCACTCACAGAATCTCATAACAGCATTCCCCAGGATGTTGGGATGGAAAAGATGAAGCACTTATTTCAGACTCTATTAAGGTCTCGCTAATTGAAACATCGTTAAACTGCTATAGTGTCCCAGCTGATTTCAGTGAACAGACAGACACGTCTTCTATGACCTTAAAAATGGAAATATACTAGTGGCTTAGTTGGGGTTGAGACGACTGCTTTGAAACTGCAGTATGGTGAAAAGAATAGAGAAATCACGGTTGCACACCTTTCTGGTAAAGGGCCAGATAGTAAATATTCAGCCTTCCTCAGCCATAAGGTGTAGCAACTACCCAGCTCTACACTGTAGCGCAGAAGTGGCCTCAGACAACATGTAAACAAAAAACATGGCTGTGTTCCAGTAAGACCTCCCCTGCTAGTCCCCTAACACAGACTACGGCTCAGACAAATCTGGACTAAAACCTTGGTTCTGCAACTCCACTGGCTGTATAAATAACAGGGTCATTTGCTTTTCTTATGAAAAACTTCAAGCACACACAAATAAAGAAAATAATTCAATGAACTCCTTATAGCCATGACCAAGGTTCAAGTCATCTCAATGTTGCCACATTTCTATCACCTATTGCTTTTCTTTATTTTGTGATGAATTATTCTTCATAATTCTAGACATCATGTCGTTTTATCCCTACTCGTCTCAGTATATATCTAAATGCAATGGACTTTTCTTATATAACCATAATGCCATTAAAACACCTCATAAATAATTTCATGGTATCATCTCATATCTAGTCCACACTTACATTTTCCTGATTGTCTTAAAAATGTGTATTTACAGTTGGTTTGTTCCAAACAAAGGCACCACCTAACAGGTTTTGCTCTCCTCTTTTTACCTGAATGCTGTTGATTTGTTGTCCTATAGAAAGACCCATATTCTGGACTTATTTGCTTCTTTAAGGTATCACTTAACTCATTCCTTTAGCCGCCACATTTCTTATAAAATCAAGGTAGCTTAAGGCTTGAATAAATTCATATTCAATTTTCAAAGCAAGCGTTTTTCAGAGGTGATGCTGTATCTTTCCTATTTTCATCACAACAGGAGGCACATAACATTTGTCCCACTTTTGGTGAGGCTACATTTGGTCAGTGAGCTCAGATGGTGACAGCCTGATCCCTCTACAGTAAAATTCCCTGACTTTCATTTATCTACTGACATCACCCACTGATGACTGCTCTTAAATCAATTCTTTTAATTAAGGGTTACAAAAATGGTGACTTTCTAATTCCATTATTCCTTCTGCATTCACTAACTATTCTGAAGAAACTGCCCATATTAAATATTTAGTTACCGTGCTTGGTACGCTTAATCATAGTAGTTTAAAATCAGACCCTGATGGGCTCTAATCATGGTTCTAACAATAACAAGCTGCATGACCTTTGAAAATCTAGTTAACCTCTGTGAAGCTCAAATTTCTTATCTGTAAAATAAAAGGGTTGGACAGAAATCATCAAATTTTACTTGTGTGTACATGTGCAGTAGAGGGAGTTATGGACCCTTTTAAGACTTTGGTACAAAAGTCTCTAGCAAATGGGCACAGATCCACATCGTTTTGCACAGAAGTTTCAGGAGGTTCAGGCTTCCCAAAGCCCACCTGCAGTCATCTGTCCTAGGACTGCTTCTCACCATCCTCTGGGGGGCTTGTGACAAACTGACTCCTAGGCCTCACCATAGGTGAGATCAAAATATGCACAGGGAAGGTCTGATCCAAGAATCTGTATTCTTCACACACTCTCCAAGGTGATTCTTAGCCACAAAGGCTGAGAGCCATTCACTTGAGTGACAATGGGTATTGGCTAGAATGTCTCTGGCTAGAGAGATAAACACCCTTTTCATAAATTCTTTTGTCTCTTCTCTTAGGATCAAATTTGTCAAAAATTTAGGTTGTTTACCAGATGTCAATATAACCTGAGATGGGAAGCACTAATTTAAATTACTCTTTACTTTAGAAAGTCACAAATGAAAATTTTGCAATTTTTCAGATCTACAGATACGCATTATTCTAGTAATATATTCTTCATGTTTGAGGCAAAAGTAATTCAAACTCATCTTAAAGACATTTCTGAAAAGGAACACAATGATATGGAATTTCAAATTTTAAAATATGCATAGACTAATAACCAGAAGCCAAATGTTACTTTTTGTAATGTAAACACACCAATTATATCTCCCACACTTGACCCTCTTTCGTATCCTGCTAAAGCTGGCGCAAACATTTTGTTAATGGTTTCCCAACACTGCTCCTCATTACTCAGTTTTGTTCACTGAAATTTAAGGTTTTAGGCATTTTAGAAATGTTCCTCATGCGATGTGACAAAGTTTAATAAGCAGCCAAACAAAACAAAACAGATGTACTGAATCTGAAATGGGCTTTGGCTAGTACCCTGTCCCTGTATGTGGTAATACCTTTTTTTTTACATATCAGAGGTGTTATGGGATGTGCCAGGAACCGGAAGCTGAACCTAGTCATGAGGATGGAACGTGACCAAGAAAAGGCCTTCAGCACCATCAGCTACAGCGACAGCACCACTGCTTGCTGAGTAATGTCTAACAGGCGTGGGTGCCATGTGGCAGCTTCCTGACATGGTGATGCACAGGCCGGTGGCACCCCTGGAGGTAGCCACACAACCCTGTGCTTGCTCTCTCATGAGTGTTCAGATCAATCTGTTTGCAGTTATATTGGGGAAACTGAGCACTAGAGTTTTTCAAGCAGTAATTTATGTATTTTTTGAACATTTAAATAATTTTAAAGCACACATAACACTTTTTGGCAATGTCATAACCTGTCTTGCTTGCTCGTAAGTAGATAAAAAATCTGGGAAGCAATATGAGGATAGGATCACCTTACGAATGTCTTTCACTCAAACAATCCCAAACAATAAACAACGAATGCTTGTTAACAGTGCCATTTCCATGTCTTAGAGGGTACCACTGCTGCTAAGATAAAAGAAGGGAGGGGCAGTGCAAATTGACCAAAATCACACTTGTTTTGGGTCCTCTCCTCTCAGAGTTCAAGTGACAAGTCTGACAGGCTGTACCTCTCAACAGGAATAGCCCTGGCAAGATGCAATTCCTCCTGAGGAGCAAAGCTGACGGAAGTCAGTCTGACTGTGGCCGGGAAGGGGTACCAAACAGGACCAACGGGATGTAAGCACCCCAGTGGTCAGCTGGGGCAGCTGGAAGGCTGAGGCTTAATGGAGACAAGAACGATGAACACTGCATAGTCTTTTATGGCTTTCAGAACGCCCCACCCATGTTACCTCATACACATATCACTTATAACCGGCACAGTGTGTGTTCCTGCATTCCTCTTTACTTGCCTCATTTTGCTGCCGCCTGCTGAGAACTTGTCTCTGACTAGCACTAGTCCTGGAGCGGTATTTAGGAACCACCCTTCCCTCCCTCATCAAGGGAAGAACTAGGAACGATGGAACGAGGTGGGGCGGTCCAATCATCATCATCTCTGGAACTACCAGAAAAATACGACAGAGCCTGAACAAGGGATGCCCAGGGGGCAGAGAGGGAAGTTACGCAGGGAGACAATGGGCACGCTGCGCCTCCTGAGAGTTCACAAGGCAACAGTCCTAAGTGAGAGGGTGTGCACCCTGCAGCCTGTGCGAGAGAGGGTTAGAAAGTGGGGACAGAGGAGCCGAACACAGGAATTCCAGGCAGGGAACTAGAAAAGAGCAGCAGGATGTGGGGCGAGATGCGGAGAAGAAAAGAGCTCTGGTCAGTCCCGCCCACTTGCCTGAGGGCCGGCTGCCTTGCGCAGGGTTAGGCACTGACCTCGGTCTTGCCACCATGCTCCCTCCCCCTGGCCCCTCTGTCTTTCTGTTCTTTCTATCCTTGATCCCGCTTGGATCACAGGACTTTTCTCTCCACCGTAACTGATATAATACAGAAGTAAAAAATGATCAGTAAATACTGATTAAAATTTTATGCTTATTCTTTTGAATTTTTAAAAAGAAGCCAAGGTGAACCTCTTCTCTTTTAATCCCTCCAAGGCTTCTGGCATCTGGCAGAATGAAATGAAGGAATATTAATCTAGACGTCCTGTGGCAACAGAAGTCCAGATGAATATCTTTTTCTTGCCAAATGTCTTAACATTCAAGGCTGCTAGTTTGTCTAATGCTGTCTTCTGATAAGGCAGCTCGGGCTCTTGATTAGGATGAACAGCAGAAGGAGAGAGAGAGAATAGAAAGATCAGGCCAGTTAGCGTGCAAGTGACTAGAGATGCATGTTGCCACTGGCTGTGAAGAGCGACATCCTTTTGTTCTCCTGGTATAAGCACAAATTTTAGCATTAGCTCTGGAAGCTGAAAAATACACCACCAATGAGAAAGCTGACCTAGAGAAGGGAGCTGTGTTACATGAGTGCCCAGCACATGTAATTCTGACCAGGGTCTCGGACAGCGGGGGCGGTTTGTTCAGGCTGCCATTTGTCCATCCTCACATGCGGTTCCCCTCAGGGCGAAAGCAACACATTAGCAAGACGCCTGGCTGAGAGGTGGCGCTGAAACAGGAGTTTTCATTACTGGACTGTTTATTGGTCCAGAGAGAGACTAACCATGGGGCCTTGACCTCATTCATACCATGTTCCCAAGTATTGAGCTTCTGTTGTCCACACAGTAGAGTGCTGTGACTAACCAGCTACAACCAACAGTATTCATCAATCAGTTACACAAATGTGGCAGCATGATGCTCTAAACCTAATTAACAGTAATATGCCGAAAGTTCACAATAAAGAAAAAAGGCAAGTTAAAATGAAATGTTAAGAGATTCTACTCAAATGCATTTTATTCCACTGAGCTCCGTATGTATTTTCCCTTTTCTTTACTGTTAAATTTAATTACGATACCAAATTCTTGGGCGGGGGGAAGAAGCTAAAAGTAGAGAGCATAACATTTTTTTAAATGCCTGGAGGGTGTGAAGTGCCTCCGGACAGACACTACTGGGTACCTGAGAGGCAGGAGCCGTGGCGAGGTCTACAGAGAAAGTTACAGGCTCCTCGGTGAGAACAGCTTTGTTTGCTCTTCTCTCTTTTATGAGGGAAAGATATTCTTATAAAGAATATCTTTGTAAGTGATATTACAAAGAAAGTAATATCTTTGTAATTACTTAGAAAATATTCTTACAAAGCTCAGACACCTAAGTTCACCATTCCTGAAGGCCAAATGTCGTCTTAATTCAAAAATTGTAGCGAGAATGAGAGAGAGAAGGGTGATGTTACCCCATTTCTGTTATCTTCCAACCAGATGTCTCCAGTGCCACGGCCCATCTCCATTTGCAGCCACCCTTTCTTATCCTGCCCAAGTCTTTCTGAACATTTCCACAGAGGACAGGTCAGAGCTGGTGCTGCTGAGGTTTGTTTAAGGACCCTGTGAAGCACCAGGCAATGTGATCAGTGTCTGGCACCCCACCTTCCTACCTCCTCCTCTCCCTCTTCCTGGTACTGCTCATCAACATTATCCTCCTGCTGGTCTGGGTTTCCTGCCATCTGTGGAAACAAAAGGGGAGGCTCAGGTTACTGAAACTGGAGATGTGTCTTACAGTACACTAGGATGAGGGGAACAGGCCTGCCGCCATGAAAAGTGTCCTTTCAATGCCTCAGTGGCCAGGAAATGCTAAATAATAATTCCCAACACAAAGCCCAGGCTGTCCATCACCCTCTGTCTCTAAGAGCAGGCACATCACTTCATATAATGGCCTGAAAACCAGTCAAGGAGGCAAACCTCCGGTCAACATAGGTTCTGACTAACCTTTTGCATAAACCAGACTTTTATTAAAACACCCAGGTTAAAATCACACTCCATAGTGGCTGCTGCTTACCACCAAGTGCTCCTCCATTTCTGCATTCTCTTGTTTTTGGTGACTTTGTTTCTGCTCTTCATTTTCATCTGGCAAATTTTCTTCTCTCACTTGTTCGGCTTCCTCAAATTCGTCTTCACCTTGATTATTAGGGTCATCTGCTGGGTTAATATCCTCTACAGCTGCCCTCTGTAAAATTTTTAATAAAAAGCAACCACCACTTCAAAACCCGGGATCTGGTGTAATTTCATTTGAAAGGCTACATACTGGCAGAAAATGAAATTGTCCTTCACCAGACTGTTCAGATCTATCCTTGCCAAGACGCCTAAGTACACACCCCACTGTCAACAGATAGAACTCCTGCATTATTTGTCAGAGGCTGATGAAATCAGAATGAAAAGACATGTCTCTTCTGCATCTGATTCCAAAATAGTCCTTAAAACTTTAGTATCACAAGTAATGTGAGTGTAACTAAATAGACACAAGAAAAATAGTTAATAAAAAACAAAGGACTGAGTAGGAGGAGTAATTACAATGGGAGATTTATATAGGCAAATAAAAATGACATTCTCCGTTAAGTTGATTTTTATACAGGTAAGCTTTCCTTTGCAAGCGATTTTTTACATGTAAGTGGGTGAAAAGTAGCTGAAAAATAAGGCCCACACAGAAAGGACTGAAGAAGAAGGCCCGAGGAGATAAGAAGAGGGCTAGTTCAAAAGTAAGTGATCAATTTCTGGTATGGATCAAATTTCTTTATAACTACTACTGCCATACCACTGAGAGATGCTGCACTAGTCAGGAACGGAAGGAAAAGAACTTAGCTAACCCAATCTTTGGCAATATATTTTGAAAAGTATCTCCCCAGACCCACCACACCTCCCAAGTCATTCTCAGTTCCTGTGTTCAACAAATGCCCTTCATATTATCAACTTTAGAATTATCTCAATTTTCCACTTAAGCTCCCAAAGCACCTTCCAAAATAATGCATGTCCTCATAAAGACTCAGATTTCAGAGCTTGAGCTGGGCAAAAATGGTGACATTTGTGTGAGCTTTCCCATCGCTCCACTCGTCATCAATAACTCCACTGTCATCAATAGGACACTTAATTGAAGCAGCAAATGCTTCCTGGAGATGGTGAAACCTCCGAGTAAGGTTCAGTCTTGTTCAGCATTCCCCAGACTTCAACTCACTTCAGAGCCTTGAACATGTTCAAGAGCTCACTGCAGTCTCAGCTGAACTATTATCTGGATGTCCCTGGCTATACACTTGACTCAAGTGCAAATGACACTTTTCTGGGGAATACACAGTGACAAATCATTACCTTCACACTAAACTCCAGTTAGTCCACAATCTTGTCACACAAATTTTTTTTGTGCACTATCAATCATTTGCATGGAAATATAGAAAAAAAATTAATACGTTTAATTCAGAAATAATAGTACTAAAACTTCTGCAAAAATTCCTAAAAATACAAATACTAGCTTCAACTCTAACCAAACAGTATGTAAAGTTTAACAGGCATGGTTGTGATAGTCTAATAAAATACTTGGGTAATCAATTATACCTCAGTCAAGTTGGACAAAAATTTTTTTTAATGAAAAACAAAACAAAACAAAACAAAAAACAGGTAAGATGAAGAGAAGCACAAGCGGGCTAACAATTTCTAATGAAATGAAGGCATGGTTAGAAAGGCCGCTGTTTCCAAGTGAGTTTTACAGAACAAACTAAACTGATGAAAGAAGAGTAAAGGACTTTACAGTCGGGTAATCAGAGCACACAGCGTTTCCCAAATGTCACCAACTAGCATACTCAGCCTTTCCTCAAACCCCGCCACACACACACACACACACACACACACACCCCCGGCCCCTTCATCCCTCTCAGGGACATGCTCAGGATTTTGCACACTCATTCTGCTGCTGTCTCGTGGACGCTCCCTTGCTCTTTCACGTTCTCTGGCTCTCTCATACTCGCCTGCTCTCCATAGTGCTTGACCTTTCCTGAAAATATTTCGGAGCTACGGTTCCCTGGAGCATACTTTCAAAAATGCTAATTCCAGGGCTGGCAGGCAGATAAGGAGAAAAGCCATTTCCATCCATGAGGCTTTAAGCGGCCATCAGGAAGACTTTCTCCATGATAATCAAGAAAGGATACGGAGCTTCCTTCCAACCCGCTGGATCAATAAAAACAGGGCCCATGGCACAGTACAGACTAAGTTTTACAAACTTGGTGGTTGGTTTACTAGCAAAAGATGACAGGAGAGCTGAAGTAAGTTGTAAATATGGTCTACACACAGAATCACAAGAACACACCTACTCAAGATCTGTGTGCCACACTTGCAGGCAAGCCCAAGGTCCCAGACCACCCAGCGGAACTGGGAGTCTTCATCCCTTTTTGGTAAACAAAACACTCCGGTTATTAGGTCTCTATCTATTTATATCCTAATTTTTCTATAGCATCACGGTACTTGAGAAATTTTTTTCACTTCTCAAACACTGATCCTCATCTGTGTATATATTAAAATACTCACTGGCTGTTGGGAGATTACAGAGTCACATGACATACATAAAGCCCTAGCAGACAGCTCATAATGCTCGATAATAGTTATCTCCTTTCTCTGGTTCCCTATCCAACACCCACGCCTGCCTTTGTTTTGTTTGTTTGTTTGTTTTCCATCCTTTAGAATTACTACATCTTTCAATGCCTTTCAATTTTGCTTTTATTTTTAAAAATAGTATTAATCTAAAAGTCATCATCTAAAGAAGCCTTTGGTGTTTTCCCAGAGCAACCTTTAACCCATTCTCATCACACACAAACACCTCTCACGGTTTACAGTTAACACTGCTGCTCATCTCATATAATTATGCAAGCCACCTTCCTTCTGCACTGATGAAATAACAGGCCTATTGGGAGCCAGAGGCGTGGCGGCAAGCAAACCTTCAAGTGTGCTTCTGCCTTGTGAGTTTCCAGGTGTCATGGCTGGAGGAGAGGAAACTTACATCTGCCTCCGATTCTGGATCAGTGTCGTGGAGTCCTTGCCCCTGAGGCTCATGTCCGTTCTCTGGGTCTTCTTCCGCCTCATCTTGGTGCTGGTTGTCTCTCTCATAGGCTAGCATATCAAAGGAACAAGCATCAGCCCAGATGAACCAGACAGGATTCTTTGCTTTCAATCAAAGAAAAGCCACCAGTGGGCTTTCCGAGAGATCATTTCACCCAATTGGTCCTCCAGTGAGGTTAACTCAACATAAGGCTACATCTTAGCTTTTCTGAGTAACGTCATGTCCTTTTCCCAGACTGCACTGTCTAAAGAGATCATGTGGGTGTGAATGGTGCCATTCTAACTCTCTGAAATAAATGTTTACAACAGAAACTGCAATTCCTTCCACACACACACCCCCCCCCGCCTTTTTGCAAAAAAACAACTATCAAAACTCTCTCAATAAAAGAAAGGCCAGCCAACTGGACATTGCTAAAATTACCAACTAAGCTTTGGCAATATCAGAGGAAAATAGCAAGGTACCCAAAGAAGAAATTGATACTGTTTCAGGAAATGAAGGAAAGAACAACCCCATTTGTGGAGAAAAAAACAAATACTGCTCATCCTTATCCTGTATTCTCTGATATGGCAGGGAGGGTGACGGCCACAACACAGACACATCACACACACATACTCACACAGACATTTACTTGCTTTTTTTTTTTAATGTTCTGATAAAGAGAATTTACATAAGAACATACAAAGAGAACAAATAACTTTTTAAATAAGTTATAAGAGGAAAGGTTAAGTATATAAAAAGTATTTAACCTATAGAAAATAAAGATTCAGGATAAGCTACCATCAGGTTTCAAGTGCATCAAGGGATTCATTAAATAAAGAACAGAACAAACCATTCTCTAGTCTTACTGATAATGGAACAAAAGAGCTTAAAGTACTGCACAGGAGACATAAGGAAAACAATTTCTTGACTATAAGGGCTATAAAATATCAGAACAGGCTGTAGAGGGAGTTAGGGTAATCACCTTCCTTTAGATGCTTTAGAAAAGGACACTTATCTAAGTGTTAGTGTTGCCAGAGAAATGGTTACTTTCTAGTTCTATTATCACAGAAAGCAGTATTTGATAAATTACTAGATGCACACCATAAATGAAAGCTACTATTGACTTAATTTGAAAACTTTTAAGGCAATGATCCAAAAGCTTCCAAGGTAAGGAAAAAATGAAGAAGTTCCCAAAGCATGATAGTCATATGATAATGCGTCAAACATAACTATTTAGTATACAAAAGCTTAAGCTATTATTTCCTCTTTACTCTAAAATGTTATAGAGGAAACAAATTATCTTGGGCAATTTTGGCTACTAATGCACACTATTAAGGAAGATGAAGAAAAACACAACAACAACAACAAAAGATATATGGGAGGGCTGGGGGGTGACTGGTTAGCTCAATTGGTTAGAGCATGGTGCTGATAATACCAAGGTTGCTGGTTCAATCCCCGCATGGACCACTGTGAGCTGCACCCTCCCTAAAAAAGTCAACTATGCCACTGGAGCATGAAAGCAATGTGTAACCAATTATACTGTTCCCCAGTACAATTTATAAATAAATAAATAAATAAATAAATAAATAAATCCTTTAAAAAAAAAAAGATATATGGACCACAAATCTCCTTCACAAGTATTCAGATATGCATATGACTATGAGTTGACATATATTACCAAGCAATTTTATTAAAACATTCATCATCTAAGAAGTCTCACCACCTCCTTCCTCTTCTTGGTTGCCCTGGTCCTCTGCTCCCTGAACAATATCATTATCCACAGCATCATAATGAGCTTGCTGCCTGCAAGAGACACAAACATTATCAACTCAGTGACACAAATTAAGCAGCACAGTTTGACATAAGTCATTTATCTTTAAAGATAATAATAAACACATTTTTCAGCATTTTTTTAATGCCATAGAAATTTCTTTAGAAACTTATACGATTAGGTTTGATAAATATTCTGGATATACTTTCAAAAGACACCTTAAAAAAGATAAACTGCCTATCAAATGACAAAATAAAATAAAGTTAGCAAAAAATCTGCTAGGTTACTTTGAGACCTAAACTATCAATTTTTATCAGAAAAAAACAAGTTATTTTTAAAATTAAATACAGTAATACCTTGGTTTGCGAGCATAATTCGTTCCAGAAACAAACTACTCGTCTTGCAAGACATCGCTCGTTTACCACGTTAAAACGTATTAGAAATGTTCACTCGTCTTGCGGAACACTCACAAACCAAGTTACTTGGAATCCAAGGTTTCACTGTATTTGGAATTCCAATTCTCAGGTCATTGCTTTGCCTCAGCTACAGGAGCAGAATGAGCCCCTCAAGTGCACAGAGAACAAATACACAAAGCCGTGTTTATAATCTGCTTAGAAAAACCAGAGGAGGGGCTGTCAACGCCCATCAGAAGGCTACCCTAGCGGCTGCTGCGGGCGCTGTGGCCGCCCCGCCTCGTGCTCAGCCTGCCTCTGCCGGGCCATCTCTTGGGCGAAAAGCTGCTGCTGCTGCTGCTGCTGCTGCTGCTGACGCTGCCTCCACACGTGACCCTGCAGCCTCTGCTGGTGCAGGACCTCCTGATGCTCTCTCAGCCGCTGGGCCTCCTCATCCCTCCTCATTGCCAGTCTCTGCTGTTCCAGCTGCTCCTCGTACGGAGATCGGAATCTGGTAACGGGCTTGGCTGAAGGATGCACCTGGGGGGAAAAGAGCGGGAGCTGTAAGGGCAGTCAGGTCCTCTGGGTTCTGCCTTCCGCTGTTTCTCACGACACACTCAGGAGGCAGGGTTGGTGTCTGAATACCTATCTCAGGTGAATCATGACTAAACATTAGGTCCAAGTTCCCCCAGCCCTGGATTTCCTATTTCCCAACTCTCTCTAAGTTGCCCTTGGCTTCTGTTAGCAACTGATCCTCCTAATTTGCTGATATTAAAGCCGATTTTCAATGTGCTCCCTCTCAAATGGAAGAAGACACAAGAGAAGAAACCAATTTTGAACCTTAATTAAATTTATGTTCAAAAGGCTCTGCTACGAGTAGGCACTTGGTGACTTCACACTAATTGGGGCAATTTGTGAGCTTGAGGCTAAGGCTTTTCCATGAAGAGTTAAAGGCACAGGCATGCCAATTAACTCTAGTAATGTCTATAGACCAATCTCAGGCTAAACATAGCCAAAAAAGTAAAATTTCAGATTAAGGTGAAAAAGCAGAGAACCAATTTTCCTCTAAGAAATAGAGAATGGATGGAAAGGTAGTGCCTTCTGATTAAAGGAAAGTCTGAGAAAAGAGTTCTTAAACTCTGCTTCCCATTTAGAGATCCACCACTCGCTCCTCCATCCCCCAGTAAGTACACACAACTGCCACCAAAGGAAAGAGGGTGAATGGTTGAGGGGAATTAAACCTAGTGAGGAATTACTTTTGAAGAAAGCTATAAAGGACCCAAGATTTGGGGAGGCTTCTTTATGCTAACTTCGCAACATTTTAAGAGTGCATCTACAGAGGTTTTCACACCTTCTCAGCCTAAAGCCTTAAGTAGTTTGAAGTCTTGGAAAGTCGGAGACCAGACAAAGCTTCAGAGCTATAAAAGAAAGGGGTCCAGGACCTATGCAAACACCAGGCTGTCTGCTGTTGGGTGTGAGCCTAGAGATAGCGGAAGAAAGGTACCCAGCTGCATTCAGTGTTGCTTTAAGTCCTCCTAAAGTTACCATTTATCAAAATAATGGCTTTTTAAGTGAATCTTCCTTACATGAGAAGGGAGCGCTCAGTAGGGAGAGCCTGAGCAGAGATGGATGAACATGCTCACTTAGTGGAGTATCTTTAATTGACAAGATTCGCTTTCTGATCACTTAATAACCACCTTGAAGGTGAATGGGCAAAACCCAACATACGGCTGGAGAGTAAATGAAGAGAAAGAATGGACCTTTGATCACAGAAAATCACTTTTCTCAGCTTCAAGATGCCCTCAGGACTTGAGCACACACTGGGAAGGCGCCCAATCAGGCGCTTGTCTATGCTGCTCTGTTACAGGGATGTGAGCATGAGTCTTCCTCACGGTGCACATGGACACAGCACACAGGCATAGAGTGGCGAGTGGCCACTCTTTCTGAAGGATGCAGGTGGCTCTGCTAGTAACATGACAACAGAAACCTTAAATATGTGCCTGTAACATTTTGTGAAATCACTCACGTTTTTGTTTTTAGAGACTGTCATATATGGGGGAGCCTTTTTCTTTAATATTTACAAAGAAAGCCACACTCCCTATCCCAGCCAGCAAAACCTACTCGGAGCTGGCTTGACGTGGGTGAGTGGCCTCATACCTCAGCATGAGCCTGCCCTTCCAGGGGGTCGGCGGCGTCGCCTCGCTCGCGCTGTTCCTTCCACTCCCGGTCCTGCTCCTCTGGGGACGGGTCGTGCTCCTCCTCCAGGTGTTCCGCCTGCCCAACCTGCTCCATGGCCTCCTCCTCCAGGGCCTTTCTGTGCTCCTCCTCTACCTGACGCTCCTCGGGCTCTCTGGCTCCTGCTTCTTGCTGACTCGGCTCTGCTGGGGCCTGAGAGTCTGCCTCCTTCTGGGTGGGAGGATAAGGTTTTGTTTCTTCTGGTCTTCCAGGCACCGCTCCATGCTTCCGCCACATATCACTACTTGGAGACACCTAGGCCACGCACATCACTATCAATGACACTTCTATTACAAAAGTAGTAATACAATTTCTTTATTACCAAGTTTATGGGGTTACAACATAAGCAAAACGCTGGAGTCTAGAAATACAGAGCGCTGACTGAAAAGTATGGCTACAATGTAGTCGTTTCACTTTTCTTACTATATGTAATCTCACCTATAAAATAGGATAACATAAGCAAACTTTCACCTCAAAAAGAATACAGCAAATAACCTAAAAGTAAAGCCTATAAGTGACCACATCTCAGTAGGCCTTTCCCTCACAAGCAGTCTACCTCCTGTTTTCCCTTAGAATAAACAAAAAACAAAACCCCTCAAACTTCAAGTGATGAAATGTTTACATAATTTCCTTCAATGTGATTTTTTTCAATAACGATTTGAAAAGAAAAAGATAAAATCAAATTGAGGATGAGTTGGGTTTATTTTATATTAGCTAATAAAAAAAGAGAATGCCTTTACTAAAGGACATCTGTGTTAGCTCAAAATGGTGCCCATTAAACCAGATACAATATAGCACTTTTTAATGTATTAAAGTAGTGTTTCTTTGTAAACCAGAGGAAGGCTTTTGTATTTTATATTGTTAATACAGAAAATACTATTGAGAAAAATGGTATCTCTTTTTACAGAGTGCTCCTCATCTCAAATTGATTGATTCAAATCAGTTTTCCTTGCAAGTTTCAGAATTTCTATATAATCATCATTACTTAGAAAAGTGGGATGAAAACAGATATAATACCATTAGGAAAATCTCTCAGTCCTTTCCCCACCCCTAACCTTTTTTATCAGAAAAAAATAACTTCTTTGATCAGATCGCTCTCCCCTAATTGAAATAAATGTGAAGGCTTCTTCCTAAATTAGGAATATAATTGAGAAACTGGATTGTATAAATAAATAAATAAACCGGGGAGAGAAGTCCTTTCTTAGACATCTAAGGACAACTTTTGGAAAGGTACATTTTACTAACGTCCCTGTATACCTGGCAAGTTTAGCATAATACTTGTGCTGGGTTTATATGAAGCGTCTCTCTAAAGAGCGCTAAGTGCTCTTAAAACACCTGTCATGTATCTCCACAACATCCCTGTGGTGAGCCTTAGAGCAGATGACCACTATCTCCACTTCTCCTAGGGGGAAACTGAAGATCTGAGTCTTTAAAAGATTAATCTGGTAGACAGAACCAACTACCAGACCAGGGGTCTGGCCCTGTTTTCTTAAATTAGTAGTAACCTAAGACCCAAAGAACAAGGATCCATGAGCACACAAAGCCTGCCTGTGAAGAATGCTCTGCAAGAGCTGAAACTCCTACAAAGTCACCAACTTAGTTACTCCTGTCAGATGGTAAGTTGGGGGCAAGTCTTCTCACACATTCATTGTTGACAGCAACTTTGTCAGGGGGGAGATCGCCACACTTGCTGTTTTTATTACGCCTGTGATTGCAAAACAACTTGTAACAATTAATGATTTGGGTGGCATGACTTTTGACGTCCCATTAATGAGAAACTCTGAAGCAAGGCTTAATTTTTATGAACAGTATTACAAAAACGTTCACCATGACACCAGCATTCATACCCTTGGTAGTTTTATAAAGGCCTTTTAATACAAATTTTGGCACGTTCTGTGTAGACCTAGCACTGCTTCAAATTCAAATAGATGATCAACTTTAATACTTGAGTGGGCTGAATGTCACAGAATATATATCCTCATGGTCATTTAATCTTCTCACTCTACCCCCCGCCAAAAAAAAAAAAAACCTTAGAAATCTCAAACATAACACAACTTCAAATAAATAAACCCACATGAATAAAGACATAGCCAGTAGTCTTTCCCAGAAAATACTATAGCAGTTCTCAAAGTGCGCTCTCCAGACCAGCTGAATCAGTTAGAAATGCAAATCATCAGGCCTTACCCCAAGTTAGCTAAGACTGAAGCCCTGGGCTGGAGCCCAGCAATCTGTGTTTTAACAGTTCTGCTGGGGACTCTGAAATATGCGAAAATTTGAGAACCACTATTCTGCAGGAAGGGTTGATAATACTTAGAACAGTTCAGCTGATGACCGCTTGACAGGAAAAGTGACCTGACCAGAGGTTACCAGGTTCGCACCGCTTACCTCCTGTGGCTCTCTGGCTGGATTCTCCCTGGCTGTGCTGTCACCTTGTGGAGAATGTGCCACCTGAGTCACATTTTGCGGCTCTGCTGGTTCTTGTTTTCGAAAGCTTGGAATCCTATTCAGAGTGTCTTTCAGTTGTTTATATTCTGCAACTTGAGTCTGCATATAAATTGCACAATGTGAAGAGGAAAAAAGATATCATTCATGGAAGGGCATTAGGGGTCACTGGGAGACTAGACAAATATTGGGTCATCAGAAAAGTCATGACGTATTTTTTCTATGTTTTCTATGCAAAAATGCATCATGACTTTTCCAACGACCCAATATATTATACCTAAGTACAAGTTAGAAAAAAATATGCAGATTGTTTTCATGCATTTGGTAATCTTACTTGGACATGCTTAACCATCTTTAAGCACATGCAAATTAGAATTAGAGTTAAAGGGAACAGAGAAAAATTATCTATGACAGATGTTAGTTTCCCATGCTACATTAAAGAAAGTTGGAATTTTTATAAATAACTTTCTAGTATAAATGTCATTATTAAAAGACAGCTATGCAATAAGTTTTATAGCATTAAAATCTATGAAAAATTCACGCCATTATACAAATACAGGGGCAGGTATCTTTTACCAGTATGGTCCAAGTAACATTTTTTCAGTGGAAAGGGACCATAGGTTTAAAACACTTAATTGAATATATGTATAATATATAAAATCACTCAGGCCACCCTCTTCCCCAGTCAACTTGTGCTCAGATAGGGTCCCTTACTCTCCAGAGCGCTTCCAGTGTTGCGCTCTGCTGTTTTTGGAAAGCCATAGTATAGGCACACAGTGAGGCTGGATTTGTATTCCTCAATTTCATAATGTAGGCATAAAAAAGAATATATTCTCGTAGGTGTCTCTGTGTGTATGGGTGGTGGGGGTGTATGTGTAATATTTTTATTACAAGGAGCTAGAATGGCAGAAAAAAAAATCAAACACCTGAACTAAGAAAATGAATAGCCACTGTTTATGCTTAGCTCATCATACACACCAACACTGTTATCCCCAAACAGAAAGGCTGTGTGTGTCAACACACACTTACATAAACACATACAAAGAACACAGAAATCTTTTCCGGAACCAGCTGGCCAGGCAGGGCCATCCCGCTCAGTGTGCACAGCAGGGAGGGTGCTGGGGGCCAGGTTCCCACCTGCGCCCCTGTTAGCAGAGCCCAGCACCGTGCACAGAGGTCTTCACCCCAAGGAAGAGGCGCCTTTGTGCCTTTTTCTAACTCACACAAAGGTGAAGAAGGCTGCTCGCTAAATACTCTCACGAGATTGCTTCTTTGTCAATTGTACAAAAGTGAGCCCTATGGCTAACACTGGCCCTTAGCCCAGAAATCTATCAGAACATCTGCAAACCAACTCTGGAGGTCAAAGAGCAAAACAACTGACATCCACAGAGTGATACGTTTAATATTTTAAGGTAAGTGTAGAGGAATACACAAACCTTAAATCTGGGCTTTCTTCTTTCTCCTCCTTCTAAATATATAATCTTGGAAGGCAGTAATGCTGTGCTCCTTCAGTATCAGTGTGCATTGAGAATTGTGGGAGGATCATGTTAAAAATGGAGGCTCCTGGGCCCTCACTCGAGTAGTGATGATTCAGTAGGCCTGGGGCAAGGCCCCAGGGTCCTGTGATGCAGGGAAGTCTCCAAACCACCAGCTTAAGAATTAAATGTGACTTAGATGTCAGGATGACATCAGCCTCAAGCTCGGTTCTGGTCACTAATCTTGAGCCAACTACTGTATTTCCCTTTATCTAGTTAAAAAAGGGCACAATACTACATAACTCAGTAGGTGGTAGAGATCAATTAAAATTGTGTATATAAAGTTCTTATGACATTCCCTGACAATTGTAAACACTCAAATTCTATTCCGTTCTTGGTTTCTGCCCCTTCAACTACATTTAGTTTTTCTTTTCTTTTTTTTAAATTTCCCCTCAACTACATTTAAAAATCAAACTGTCAAGACAGAATCTCAAAAGATGATTTACATAAGAAATGTAGGTGTCTGAACAGCATTTGTTTTCTAAGATCTAGGGAAAATTGTAATCTGGGGATTAGAAGTGAACCTCTAATTAAGTATTGTGCCTAGTTCTGGTGTAACTATTCAAAAAAGAAAAAAAAAACATTTTTTTTCTATGAGAAAACCCTGTCAGTAACAGTCCCAGTGTGCTTACTACAGAATTTGGTTTTGGTCAGTAAATGAACTATTTTACTTATATTTCTCTGGATTTTCAAATTGTTGTTTAGTCTAATATTTATGGTCACTATAGCATATAAAGTATTTAAATTGGTTTGTTATAGTTTTCAGTATGAAAAACAGCCTCATATAAAATAATAATACTTGGCAAAAATTTTATAAAGAAGGTTTTGACTGAAATACTCCCCTATGAAGTCAATTTAATTTATTCACATGTAAAAAAAATCACCATATAGCTATAGTTTGACAGGGAGGTACCCAATCAATGACTACCATGAAATGGGGTACCACAAATACAGTTGCTACATACTCTGAGATGGGCGGGGCCCACCATATTATACATTTCTAATAATTTTATAAAGACAAAAATCAATACACCATCTCCTGATAGGTAGAGATGGTTGGTTTTCCTTTGTCATTTCCTCTTAATTCTTCCAAGAGAAGAAAAGTGGAGACGTAAATGATTAAGAAGACATAGTGAGTAAACTAGCCACTTGCATGGCTTTGCTTTTACTAGAAAGCTGCAAAATATTCAGCATGGTATTGCTTTAGTAAGATCTCCAACGCTTGTATGTGTTCATTTGTTCATTCAGTAAAAGCTGCTGAGGGCCTCCCTTGTGCCAGAGACTGTTCTGGGCTTTGAACAAACAGAAGTTACGTCTCTGTTTTTCCTTCTCTACTGACAAGAGATCTCTTCTTTTTTTCTGTAATTTGACCTACATCACATAAGCCTAGTCCCAAAAGGAGTGTGTGTAGGCTGGAATGCTGGGAGCAAGGAAGGGAGAAAAGAAAAAGTCTCACGATAATTTATTTAGGTTGTTGGCATTGTAACAACCTAAATGAAGCAAAAACCAACACAGGTCAGGTAGTGGCAAGAGACCATATATACATGTGGAATCATTTCTATGATTTAAACGAGTATTAGAATGCTGCATGTATGGGTTGCTGCAGGGTAGAAATAGTCACTAGGTACTGCACAACCAGTACAAAAAAAGTAGTCGAAGGTTTCTTTAATATTCTCTTCACTGAATTTGAAAGCATGCATGATCCTCAGATCAGGATAGCTCCGTTCCGAGGCATCCACCGAAGGCTGGCTTTTAAGAGGCTACATGCATAAGGGAATTCAGAGATGTTAAGCAGACTGTAAAGAGAGCCGCTCGGCCGGGGCTGCTACCCATCTAACCTGTGCAGCAGCCAGCGCACTCTTGTGTTCTTCCAGAGTCACTACAAGGTGTTCGTGCTCGGAGAGTAAATTCTTATGCTGTTGCTACACAAAAAAGAATTTTACATGTTGAGTTTTCACATTCTAAAACAAATTCTTTTTTGGCTGACAGTGAGTGGTATGACCACCCACATGTTGCCTGTTTATTTATCTGTTTGTTGTTGTGGCAGCATTGGTTATGTTTAAAACTCACTGTAGAGAGAAGACCACGATTGATGTAGATTTGAAAAAAAAAAAATCTAAAAAGTGCTACCCAAATACCGTAATCACTTAGAATGAAATCAAAAGCAAAGGAACAAATCTTTTCATTATTAATAAAGCTTTTTAAATTAAAAAAAAGCTTATTAAAAATGCAACCATCTAGCAAAAGAATCATTTTAGTCCTGATGAACATGTTTGCATTTTCAGACCATCTTTTTAGTTTACGATGCAGTCGTGGTAAAAGTATGGGCACATGCCAGTTTATGCAAAGCCCAACATAACGATGTGGATTTGTAAAGCAGGTCAATGAGGGAATGACATTAAAATCATTCTGCCAAGTAAATCAGGCAAACCATAAACAGTCCAATGCATGGTTTCATTTTACCTTGACATCTTGAAGCTGTGTGTGCATGTCTTGGTGTGCTTTCCTTAGTTGTCTGTTCTCCTCTCTCAAATTGTACACAGTTTCTGTTTTAGAAAAAGAAAAATCACACATAAAGCCTTGACATTTTTAGGCTTTTGATTCTAATATTTTCACATCTAAAGCTTCACATAACTTGTTTTAGGATTTGTTTTGAGCTTTGATACTATTACAAGTCAATGGAAAATAAACCGTTTGGGCATGGGTTCAGCTGGACATCCTAATGCAATCTGGTTCGGTAGTTTAAATACTTTTAAACAGGTTACACATTGTAGAAGTTAAGAATTTTTAATTACTCAGGAGTTAAAAATGAAATATTTCTGTTAATAAGCGAGCCCTTAGGAATAAAGTGTAATGAGCAGGGGTGGTCTAAGATGTGAGCTGCTTCACAAATATAGAACAAAGTCATCAAAAAGCACAAACCCTGTTTGTCAGAGCATGAAAAATTTCCACTGACACCCGAAAATATTTCAATTATAAAGGCAACTCAAGAAATAAAAAAAAAGAGAATTCCCACGTACCTATTGAAAAAGTCTAAATATATTTTCATTCTCCTACCACTGAATTCTCAACTGATCCAAGTTCTCTGCTCTAGAGAAGATATTTTTCAGGGCTACAATGTGAGACAATAGCAATCATAGTGACAGCCTAATCTCCCCCACCTCAAGCCCTACTATTCAGGGCACAGCCTCCGCTAGTTACAGGTTCTAGACCCACCTCTTTTGCCTTCTTGGTAATTCTCTCACATTCCCTGTATCTGGACATTATGTGTTATGAACTGGCAGCCATAAACTTTTTTTTGCCCCTGCAGTATTGGCGTATATAGTATCTTCCACATGTTGCATAGTTGTCACCATTAAAAAAAAAAAATCAAGAATGTGGGTCTAATAAAACCTGCCAACACTAGGCCGATTCTCATGTGCAACACTCCGTGGAAACTGAGTGGTGGCAGGATGACCATATAATTCATTTTCCAACAGGAGATACTTTACAGAACAAAAGGAGGTGCTGTTAATTATTACGCTGGGAGAGCAGGCGTAAATCTAGACTGTGCTGCGCAAACTGTCCCAAAGTGACAGCCGGCCCCTGCAGACAAAACCCTCAGTCTCTAGCAGTGTGGTACTCAGCACAGAAGGCAAGTGCCAGTCACCGTTTTTCATCACCTTTTTGGTCCACTTTCACTCCTTTAGCGCCCTGGCCTGACTCGTGGGCACTGGATTTGTGACTGGGTTTGGGAGAGAGATCAAGAACAAGGCGGGAAATGTGGGCGGTGACTGAGTTGTCCACCTACGTGTAATAAAGGATTTTCTCCAAGGTCAAAACAGTCATCCAAAAGGACCATAGGTATGTCATTGCCTGGACAGGGCTTCAGTCTACACACACACACACATGCACACACACGCACGCACTTTAAATACCCCAACTTTGCTAGCTTTTAAAGTCATTTCAGACCACAAACTTAACGGCAGTGGCTCCCATGCCATGGCTGTATTACCTTGAGTAAGTTATTTGACTTTAGTAGGCCTCAATTTCTTCATTTGTTAAATTAGGCAAAACACAACACGCACCTTACATGTTATCAGAATTAAGGAAGAGAACTGCGTGAAGAGTTTCGCTTGGTTCTGGCATATGGTAAACATTTGTTGAGTGTCAGCCATTATGATGATGATAATGAAACGAATAATTATCTACACTTATACGCTATCAGCTCATCTCCAGAGGAATTCTAAATTCTCTCCTCATATCATATTAAACTATCAAAGACTACTTGAACTACACACCTTAATTGGCCACTAACTGACCTACATCTATCACATATGCTTTAACTTACTATCCTAAGCTTTATCAAGGGTCATAATCAAACAAAACTGTTGATGTGAAAATTACTTATAAAAGTGTCATCAAAGGCACTGTCACACTCTGTTAGTTAAGGTCTCTGAGAAATTTCTTCCCCAAATTAGGTGGCAACATACAGTGTTCTCTCTGGATGGCTTTCCCCCTTTGCCTTAGTCTCTCCCTGCTCCCCAATATACTGGTATGTTCTCTCTTTCTGATGGCGAAAGCCCTGGACACACTGAGTTTCCCCGTTCGTCCTGGGTGCCAAGAAGTTCAGGCTGGGTTACTTGAATTATGTTAGTACACAGAACTCACATGTGTTCTATTTTCCATGGTTCTTATTTCTTATTTCTATATATAATTTGTTAAAATTTCACTGCATATGGATTTTGTTTCAAAGAAAGTAAATATAGGGTCGATATGAGAAAACCTGTTCTTTAGCGATATTGCTAAACTTAAATGAACTAATTATGTAAAGTATGCCAAGCAGAAGTCAGGCGCCTAGGAAATTCTGTTTCTCATTCCTTAATGAATGTACTTATTTACTATCAGTATAATGTGACGTGCTTACTCAGCTTAGCTCAGGCTTGCGAATGCTAAGCAGTGCATCCAATAAGCCAAACGTCTCTGCCCTCCCCACTAATAGGTGTCGCTCCCCAGGGCATGGCAGCACTATCGGACACCGGAGTCCTCTGGTTCTCTCTTCTGTTATTCTACTTTGTGAGGGTTTCTGGTATTTAATCTTCCTTCTTTTCCCTATTTTGTTATCTTAATGACCACTTGCCACCTGCCACATCACCTACATGTCTACATCTCTTGGGCATCGCCTGCTGACACCCAGCCCAACTCAGTCAAGGCCTCCTTAGCTCTTTGTACACTGCCTCAGTGGCTACTTAGCTCCTATGAGCCTTTTTGTTGTAACTTATTATTTTTTATTATTTATAGACAAAATGTTGCAAAAACAAACAAAAAAGGCAGAGAGATCCAAAGTAAGTACCCATCATCCAGCTTCCGTCTATGATGACATCTTATTTTATAAATGTAGCACACTACACCCAAACCAGGAAACTGTTGGGCACAAAACAATTAACTAGACTGCAGGCTTACTCAGAGCTCACCACTGTTTCTGCCAGCACCATGGGCCTTTTTAAGCCACTTCTCATACTTTAAACTTATATAGTTTATTTAAATTGAATGCCACTGAATATTGGTTAACCACCGAATAAGTGATTGTAGAATGTGCTGGTTCCCTTTTCCAGAACGCACATGTACTTGGAGAAGTGATACACTGTTCTGTCAGGTGAAAATAACTGATGCTGATGTTGATGGCAATTCATACATAGGGAAGGTTGGCCAAGTACCAGCAGCTGTTCCAGGTGCTTTACATAAAGTACTGAATCCTCGCACCAATCCCACGTGAGGATGAATAGCCCAGCTGTACAGATGAGGACAATGAAGCCGGGGTGATTACACGGCTTGCCCATGGTCAGATAACTAGTAACCGAAGAGGCTAAGGTTCACCAGGGCGGTCTGACTCTAGAACCTGAGCTTTTGAAAGCTACTGCTACCAATCATTTGGAAGTCTTTCTGCCCCCTTGCAGATTTTTAGAAATGTTTCACCATCGCAATTTTTGATCATCGCAATGACTGGATAGCATTAATGGCATGTTGTGCGTTGAGATCAGAGATCAACACACACACAAAGAAACGTCTTGCCCAATGGTTCTCTGTTGGTGGCCGAGGTGCCCCATTGAGAAACACTGAGTATTTATTCTGCTTCCCTAAACAAACCAAAGAGGAAAGGATACACTTGAAATGTTACAAAGGAATCAGTGACTGGGAAAAGACCACATGATGAATATAAATCAAGCACTCTGCGAAAAACAAAACTATTGTTCTACTGAAACATTAATCTGAGAACTTACTTCCATATAAACTGGCTAACTAGATTCCTACGTACCTTTTAGCTTAGAAAGTTCCTGTTCTTTCTCTTGCTGCAGCTGCAGGTATTTCTGCTTATGGTCATTAAACGTCCGACTGAAGTCTTCTCCTTGTTTGCGATGTTCCTCTTCCAAGTCGCTGTGCTGTTTCTTTAGCTCCTCATGCTGACTCTGCAAAGATGAGACCTTGAGCAAAGACGTACGTTTTCTAAATTATAAATCTATTTCTCAATAGCGTAGGCTTTCTCTTGCAAGAAAGCAAGAACAAATGAGGAAGTAGGTTTCATTTTCCTCAGGTCGCTTATAAAGTGTGCCGCTCCCCTCCGCTTCCCTTACATTTCAAACGAATCTTTTGGGATCATGGCCAAAAATAATTTTCTCCTTGACTTTTAACATCAATGGGAACAATAAGAAGTTACAAGTGAGCATGAGAGATGGAAAAGGGAGGGATGTGGGGACATTCCCAGGCACTCCTATTACTGTGGAAGCAAGGTAAAGTTAATGGAAAAATTATCCCTATGGAAATCACAGACTTCCTCTTTCAACCTGCTGTTTTCCTAACAACATTTTTGATATCCCTTCTTTAATTTTCAGCCTTCCTGTGTAACGCAATTAAAAAAACATACAAAAAAAAAAAACCTCTTCCCTTTTGCGGGAGTAATTAGTTGATTGTTTATCAAATTATACTTATTTATCTTACTCCTGATGATAATACTATGCTTCAATCATAATCTAGATCAATTCTAGTCTCCAAATGCTTCCTGTGAAGGGATGGTCTGCTTTAATTCATAAAGTCTTTCTTGATAATAAAAAAGGTTCTAGTTTCAATAAAAAGCATTTGCCCTACCTATACAGGAGGAAAAGCAACAACAAAAAGCTGGGGTTTGGGAGGGGTGGGGTCGGCATAATGGCACAGGGCTCATCTTCTCAAGCTTGACAGAAATAATGAATCTCTCTTTTTCTTTTGTCTTTCCTGATACATGATAATGAATTTTACCCAAGAAACAAGGAAGAAGAATCTTTAATTATAAACTGTGTCCCTGTGGTAGATAAAAGGACACTTATTAAATATCAGAAACACAAAGGAAGCATTTTAACAGTTTTACCACCTCTAATGTGTCTATGATAAAGAAAATATCTAAGGAAAACCACTGTGAGAAATGAAACAAAAAGCCTTAAAGAATACAGACAAGAACAAGATTAAAAATTAGTTGACCAGAGAGCCTGATTTATAGGAAAATGTGTAAATGTATAAACTAAATATGTTCTTTGTAATCAAGTGATAAATATGATGGGGCATTATAATTATAAATCATTTTTAGTCAAATATGACTTTAATATGCCATATTATAATACAAATCAAGTTTCTGTCACTTTCCTGAATCACTTCAGTTACTTAGTCAATCCTTTCATTCATTCCTGAAAAGCAATTTCAAATTACTTACTTTCAACATCTGGTGCTGCACATTCAATGCACTGTATCTACTATTGGAATCTTGCTGCAAATTGAAAACAAAATAGTTAATAAAGATAAAACAAATCTGGCTGTTTTGCTAAATACAGCTTAAAACTCTTACTAGAATAATTTCATTTATTTCACTTGTGTAAGCTAAAATTAATTCTACACTTGAACTAATATGTCTCTCAGGCTATCTCTATAATAGCAGAAATAGTTTTAACACTCCCAGAAGTTTGCTAGATTTTAGTAATGAAAAAGAGAACATGGAATCATAAAATAGAAGCTTGACAGGGCCCTTGGAGACGATTTACTTCCCCTCTCATTCAGGAGAAGAACCAGGCCCGGATGTATGCAGGAGCTTGTCCTGAGACACTGGACAGCATGTACATAATAATACATTGTGCCAGGTGCTCCACTGGGAAATGGGGCTAAACCAACAACGGCCAGGTCTCAGAAGCTTAGCATGGCTAGGGGAAGGGAGAGAAAGGGGCTTTCCTCCCCTGAGCTGCAATGAGTAAGAAATTCTACATATGTTACTTTATCCCAGGGAGGCTCCATTTCACGGAGTGAAAAACAGATGGATAAGGAACAGGCCAAGGGTAAGTATTTCCTCTGGTAGCAGAGCAAGATGGTAAAGCTTGAGCCTGAGCCTGTGGATGAATTCTTCTGTGTTCCGGTAGTAGATCACCGTGTCCCAGAGGAGCATCTTCACACGTGGGCCTCACACATTTCCACAGTCCTGGGCAGCCATAACCAGTCAGTGTTCAAGACCCCAGAAGGTTTTCTCTCCCCACGTTGTGCTGTCCTTACACGCCACACACCTTGGTTACCGCACAGCCAGCACAAATACACTCTCAATCACTGCTTTTTAAATTTTTCTCAACTTGATTTTTGCTTTATCACTTCATTTTATTGCTTTACTATTTTATTTTGATTTATAAGAAAATTACATGATAAAATGTACAACATAGTACACACAGTTTTGGTTAAGGCTGTTAAAAGCAAGTAAGAGTTGAAAGCTAATAGCTTCCCCGCTATCCAAGGAACTGATTCTTCTCAGTTTTAACGCCCCCAAAACACCAATGTTTTATTCAATTAATGCTTACTTTTTTTTTGAGTAAGAGAAAGACGTGCTTTTCTCCAGTTAATCTGGACTTAAATTTTATTTAATGCCAGTATCACTATTCATTCATTCATTCCACAAATGTTTTTGAATGATGATGCTAGACCGGCTAGGTACTGTTAGACGCTACACAGTGATGTTTGTCTAAGTAGCAGTAAGTACAAAGGCAAACCAAAACAACTATTATATTCCATAAAAAAAGAACAAATAAATGAATATAAATAATCTGCTCTTTCTTGTTAAAACATTAAGTCTATTCTCAATTTATAGCTATCATCAACATTACGATAAGCAAAGGTAAGTTTTAAAAGAAAAAATTTTAAAGTCTTATTCTTGGAATTTTTTCATAGCAAAAACAAAAAAAAAAAGGTACGAGGTGTGATAAAAAAAATACAGTGAATGCTGCTGCTGAGTGCCATCCAACAGAAAGGCAGAGATCTTCAGTAAGGGAAGTGATGCGTGGAACCTTAGTAACAGTGTGTGACAAGTTTCAACTTGTTCGGTGCAGTCAGTCAGGTGTGAGCTACAGCTGAGAGGTGTGTTTTAAAGTGTGCCATAAATCATCCTCCATCATGACAATGCTCTGTGTCACACATCGCTTCTGGTATACAGTAATTTCTGTCAAATAAAAACATTATGGTGTGTCCTCATCCACCTAATTCACTGGATCTGGCACAGTGTGACTTCTGGCTCTTCCCCAAAGTCAAAGTGATTCAGGACATCGAGGCAGCCAAGAAAGCACACCCAAAGACACTCATGAAAGAGGACTTCCAGAACTGCTTCAGAAAGTGACAAGAACAATGGGGTAAATATGTTCAAAGCGAGGGGGAGTATTTTGAGGGGGATTAATGACAATGTGTCTTTTACTGTAGTAATTTTTTTTATTTAAACGTTCACCACATTGTTTGATCACACTTCGTATTTCAGTCCACAATCCTCAATCCTAATGATCAACAGAATAAAACATTTTACAACATTTCCCTCTCCCCCAAGTTTCATGAAAAAAAAAATTAAGGAAAAAAAAACCCAACTTACCCTTCCTTTATTTAGTGTTTCTTGTGCTTCTAACTTATAAACAAGAAAATCTAGAAAATACAAAATGGAGAAAATAGTATTAGTTAATTCATTGTGAAATTTTTAAACATCTAAAAGGATAACGGTGAACTTTACTCAGATTTACAAAAAAGTGTTCTAAGTTTAAAACAATCTACTTGATGACTTATGTATACTTGATTTTGCCTCTTAATGTTTTAGAAACATATAATTTTAGAAACATATAATTTTCCTCTTCATCTTAAACCTGTAAATCTTGCATCAACAAAATCCACATTATAACCAACTGATTAAAAGGGCATTTAGAATGTGCACTCTGTTTAACTTCTCCTTGAATAAAAGGAGGAAAAAACCCATGAAGCACTCCTGAAGACAGAGATGATTTACTGCTATCCACTAGATGGCACACTAAAGTCATTCAGGGCCTGAAAAGAGAATTCAAGCTATTTAAACCATCTTTAATGCTCTTAAAGCTTCATTGTCCACTAGATGGCTCCATACAATCACTGTGCATTTGAAGACAAGGAAACTCCAAATCCTATCAAAGCATTTTAATGATGTTAAAACTTCTATTCTTCACACAGGCTTAGGCCAAGGGTCAGTAAAACATTGTAATCCATAATGCCCTCCCCTATTCTCCTTCCTTTTACCCACCGAGTTAGACAGAACACCTAACTTAAGTATCAAGATTTACCACAAAACATAAATAAAAATATAAATGCAGATAACTTTAAAAAAACAAGCTGTATAAAGCTTTAGCTTTATACAAAAATTCTGATAAAAATCATACCATTGCCTAATACCTGTGCTAAATGATAAGTTTTCAAACTGTATCCATCGGCTGTCCAACAAAAGCCTTTGTGGACAAAACTCCAGGTACTATTAGTAACTTGTGTATAATATTCAGATGAAAAGCTGTTTATTTCTGAAATAATGTGTGTAACCAATATATGAACTACCTCAAGGTAACAAACTGAGTGAAAGGTTCTAAATCCAGTCTTGAGCAGGAATTACTTTATTATATGATACATAGCATATTGTTCGACAACTCTTTCTCTGTCCACCTATGAAACTGGCTTTGGGTTGATCTGAGAAATTTCTTAGCAAAAAAAGAGTAAAGCAAATACATGATGCTTCAAAGAATCTGTATATAAACACAAAATACATTATTTACCTTCCTTTGCTTTCTTATGTTCAAGTCTTTCTTTTTGCAAGGATTTCTCTAATCTTGATCTGTGTTCATACACAACTGGAAAAAAAAAAGTTAAAATTTGTCTTCAAAGAATTAGAAATTCTGAAGTAAAAGTAACAAAACAGGAAGAAACCAGGGTCTTTTCACGATTAAAATAAAAATTTATGTATTTATAAGTTCCACATTCTGGGTAACAAACAAGCAATAATCTGCATAATTCTGGGTGGACTCCTATACAGTTTGCCTCTTTAGAGAACCAATACTCTGGAAGAGGGTGCCACCTTCTTTTCCTTCTCCTGCTTCTTAAATTACAGCATCTCTGTGGTTCCATGTCCCTTTCTGGGCAACCATGTCCACTCTAATGACTTCAACCACCGTCTGCATCTAGCTCCTGCCTCTCACAGGCACTAGACGAGTACTTCCTAAAACCTACCGGGTGTTGCCACCCAGCTATCCTGTAAGTACTGCCAAGTCAACATGACCTGAATCTGAATTAGGGCTGCACGTGTCGGTGAGAAAACCTCAGCAGCATAGCACTGGAATGAAAGAGGAGGGAGGACGTGTATTTCCCCTCAGCAAGGATAACACGGGTGAAACAGCCACAGAAATGTGGAGGGGAGCGCATTCCAAAGGACCTACAGAAGTGCCCACAAACAAACAAATCAGGTTTACATCTGCCATGGCCAGGAGGAACCAGTGGCAGGGTGATGTCTGCCATGCTGTAAGAGCTTCCTGCATTTTATCATCAATCACTATCTACTCAGTCTACTCTGAAGAAGCCGGGGTTGCCTGGGAAGTGGGCAAGGGGGAGCAGGTGCATTAGGGGGAAAGAGGGAGAAGGAGCCTATCAGAACGCTTCTGCGTTAGAGGTTTCACATCTACAGCAAACGGAAGCTGCGAGAGCGGGATGAGCTTTACCTCTGAATGAATAAAACATGTGCTATTACACTGAACTGGATTAGATGTGATACTTGCTAAACCAAGACTGTGTTTATGCATAAAAGTTATTGAAAGGATTTTTCAATTGAATAAATTTGACATGTAACCTTGTGTAAGTTTAAGGTAGAGAACTTATTACTTTGACACATTTATATATGTATCATGATGATTGTCAATGTAGCAATATTTATCACATTACATAATTATAATACAAGAAAGACTTTTTGTTTTTTAATCTAAGAGAAGCCGAGGAGCAACCAAGTGTGTCTGGATTTCATCCAGGGACAAAAAACACAGCTACACAGAGTGGTTTAAACAGGCAGTGAAGGGAAAGGAGCAGAAAAGAAAAATTTCTGATGTACCCTTTTAATACTGTTGGTTCAGCATTATGGTCATATATGATTTCATTCCCTGGCAAGCTAAGCCAAACCTGTCATCTGGTTCTTTTACCAGTCACTAGCGCCCCATGACTGCCTAAGATACAGCTTAATCACCAATCGCTGACTGACCATGCACAGCATATACAAATGTCCAACAATATCGCCAGTTCAAAGTTGCATGGTCGCAGGAATCGCCCTCCCCACACCTACAACCATCCCTTGTTGCAGAAGGGATTGCCTGGCCCTCTTCCATCACTTTCCCCATTGTCACATCGGCCAGTTACCAGCTACTGCTGTCCAACTTCAATACGGCCATCGTCTCCCGGGTCCAACCCCTGAACTGCGTGCTCATCACCTGTGAGACTTTTGGTCAGGTGGGGGAAACTTATAGGAAATCAATAAATTACAAAGCTATCATGATATAACAGAGGCAAGAACAGGATGCCACTGGAACACCTAAGCGCCCCAGCTGGAAGGGAAAACACGCCCTTCACCTCCAACCCACAGGCCAAAGTTCCCACGGTCTGGGTAGGTCCAAAGAATATAATATAAACATGCTAGTTAAAAGGGAATCTTGGTGCAATAATTGGACATACTTGTATAGATGATTTCAGCGAACAAAGTGCATCACTTTCAAAGAAAGGAACAAGCAAAGTAGTCAAGATCTTGCCCCAATGGAAATGAAATGACAGCAGGGGGTCCTGAGTTTAGGGGGCTCCTAGGATGTCAGAACCATTAGGGGGAAACAATCCCAGCCTAGAAACATCCATGATTTAAAACAAAAACAAAAAAACCTGCAGCATAGTCAACAGGCGTATACAAGGCAACAGCTCACCACTCATCCGCAGCCACTTCAGACTCTAAATACTAAACATTATTGTGAGAAGGTAAGGAAGGAGGGAAAAGGTGCATCTACAAATTACAGTCCCTAATAACACACAGCAGCCATCACTGTAAACTCACTGTTGCAAGCTCAACGTGGTATGGGACTCAGTAATCAGGCAATGATTATCTTTGGCTTGGGAAGCAGAAAACTCATCAGTGTGATTTCATGATCAATAAGACTAGAGCGCCCAGAAGATGACACCAAGTAGAGAGGGAGTGTGTGGGATGGGGTGAGGGGCATTGGGAGGAGGAGGGTGGGAGATAGTGCTCCATTCTTTCGTTACTTCCCTGCCATGCAGTCAGGAAGATAATGTGCCAACAGCTGGCCCATAGTACCCATTTATCACACTGAATCACACAACTGTCTTTGACAGTTTCACACTCAATGGGAATTTACACATTCAGCATATTAATGGCAATGTGTCTCAAGAGCCAGGAGATCCTACGATACACAGTTGTACATTTTCATAAATCACCTGAATAGATGCTACATGACGTCCACCAAGAGGTGAACATGTTTGTGGATTACAGTGCAAACGTGAAGGTCTTGGGAAATCTGAGATATATTCACGAATACATAAAATGGCATCAGTAAGAGCAAGCGCTAAGGCAAGAAGAATGTGTTTTTGCAAGTGTACTAGGAAAAAAACGATGTGGTCAATAAGAATAGAGGATATATGCAGACGCCATGAGGTAACTGTCCTATTAATAATAGCTTACTCAGAACTGGTCAAGCCATTATCATAGCATCGGGCTTCTAGTCCTGATGTAATATAACTTACGGATGCAGAAATGGTTTGGGAGTTGGAGACAGTCACCAACGGGGAAAGTGAAAAAGCAGCAGGGACCGGTGGGAAGTTGTGCAATTGTTCATTAGGGTCAGAAAAAGGAAAATAAACCGAAAAGAAGCCCTCAATTAAAAGCTGAGGAAACCACATGAGGTAAAGGAATGTGACAGTGAAAAATTAATCCTTGGGATTGGAAATTCTAGAAAGAAGGGGCGAGGGCAAGAGGAAGGCAGTGATATGATGGCTGACAGCAGACTCTGACGTCTGAGTTCACATCCCAGATCCACTCCCTAAGGGGCAAGCTGCCGGACCTCTTTGTACTTCAGTTTCCTTATACGGAATAATAATAACACCCACCTCTGGGTGGATGTCAGGGTTAAATGAGTTAATGTATGTCAAATGCGTAGAACACTGCCGGGCAGAGAGTACACGCTAAAAAATACTAAAATATTTGTTCACCTATCTACTGTGGTGACAAAGTACCTGAGAAGCAATCAGGTGAGTCCTTTCAACCCAACAAAGTCTGATAATAACAAAGTAAAAAAAAGTGTGTGTGTATTCAAAAAGGCATAAGATATTTCAGTTTGCTTTTACTAAAAAAAAAACACAAAGAAAACCCTTTAAAAAAAAGAGAAAGCAAAACATCATTCCAATAGCTTAGTACAACTCCTAAGCCGATTTCGTAATAAAAATTCAAGGACAGTAAAACAGACCAGATAGAATCTTTGTGTCCTTGTTGCTCTTCTAGAAAATTTCCCTATCAATTAAATACACACACATACACCCACGGTACCCTTAATTCTTTTAAAATTCATTCTCCAGGCTTTTGAGCTAGTGATTTTTCTCGATAGGTTTACTGTTTCGCTTAGAAGGAGGACTGCTAATCAATCCTTGTCACCTATCTCTATTTTTCTATTTATACTCTGAAGTCAAGGGCATCAGTCAAGATGAACTCATACTGCTAGAACTTTTGTTAACAAAAAAGTGTATAATGAATATTCTCACAGCACCTAACAAGTTTAAGGAAAAATAAGTATAAAAATAATGGTTCAAAATCAGCTTTCAAGATCTTCAATGCAGAATAACACTGTAACAAGAATAGGATTTGAGTCACAAAAACTCATAAGAAAAGGAGGAAAATCTAGAACACTCATCATCTCCCCTGCTTACTGAAAAGGGACTTTAATATTTTCCATGCAATTGAGAATGGGAAGAGGTTTTATTCCACCTTAAAGCACTCAAGAGTGTAAAAGCATGTCAGCTTCCTACAGCAATTTTCCATTTTAACTTCGACTTCCGTCTGAAAGGCACAAGAGAAATTAGCTGTATGCATCCACTTACGGGCAAAATACATATCCGTGACATTTCGGGGCAAACTGCTCCAAATCAGAATTAGAAAGCAACACTAAAATTAGACAGAAAACATTGCTAAGTGTTTTAACACCTTAAACATTGCTAAGTGTTTTAAGACCTTAAAGCAAGAGAGGGCAATGTTTCTTTGGCAGAAGCAACAGCCCATGAAATTTTGCTTTGTGTTGACAATAACGTAAAAGTTTTATCTTTATTAAAAACAACAGCAAACAAACAGAGGCTTGCTATGAAAGCCACACAACTCAACCTGTGAAAATATGAAGACTTGCAAGTACCTTTATCATTTTACATATAATAAACTTAAAATGAACAAATTTGTGCTTTTGATAATTGTGGATGAAGACTTTTAAGTAGGAAAGCAAGGCAGATGACCAAAAAGGAAAATAAACTGAAATCAACATTAGTTCCCGGAACACAGTACTTTTGGGGTTTGGTTTGTTTTGGATATTTATGTCTAAAATCACAGACATTTAATATAGTCTTTAAAAACAGTTTTCAGTTTGGTTCTAACTCACCAGAAGTGGGGTGAAGGCCCGCCACTTACCCACCCCCTCCTCTGTAGAAAGAGTTGGTCACTAACATGATGACAACATCATAAATGCAGTTTTCCAATTATCTTTCCTTCCTCCTTTCATAATTTTACCTCATAAGAAGTCTGAGAAAGAATGCAGGAAATCTTAGGAAACAACCTGCA